TCTTTCACCTGTCACCAACACTGATGAACATTTTCTGATATCCCTTACATGCTCTCGTTGTTCCTTATTGTTGGCCTTGCCAAAACTAGAAGCCACAGTATTTCCCTTCAAACCGATCGAGGGGTAGTCGCCACCATAAATGTCCGATACGAGCAAATCCAGCGGTGAAAAATCACACTTCTTGCCACACCGCAGAATATCTGATCATCAAAATACCCTCACCGAGAATCGAACCAGCGCGGGGAGAAAAAAAAATATATGCAGCGTTGGCGAGTGTGAAAAAAAGTGAGGAAATTTTGGGAAATCCTCGTTGGTTTCTGTATATTTGTATAACTCTCGAGCTCAACTGTGGAATGCAAACATATATTCCCCCAACACGGAATCGAACCCGCGACCTACCCGCAGGCGTTCTCGAACACTCCGGAGGTAACATATGTCTGGCCATTCCCATCAGCGTCGCTCCGCCTATCGGTGAGCCCCCAACACGATACATCGACCTAATTTGAATCTTTTATCATCGAACCTAAGATACGCCCGACCATTACGTCGGCGAATCCACTCTGTAAAAACTCGTACCGCTCTTCATACTAACCATCAGAAAGGGAAAAATGCTCTCGAATTTTTCCCAATTCACAAATTCCATACGCTCGACGAGCTCGGAATTACTTGGCAATGAGCCTGCCAGATTTACTCCCTGAAATAGAAACCAATAGTCAACCAGCAGAATAACTTCGAGTAACAAAATGAAGCTCAGCTCTGGAAAAATTGCTAAAATAACCGTAAAAATCGCGTTCATTTTTTCCCAGAAAATCACAAAAAAACGTCGTCATTCGAGGGAAAAAAACTAAACATACGTAATATGTAATTTATGTAAAGTATATATACAGCGCGTTTCAGATTGATATGCAAATGTGGATCATTTTCCGAGATTAATGAGAATCGATCTGAAACTATATCGCATAAACAATGTAACAATGGCTATGAACATGTGTTGTGATGAGAGTACCCGTTTGGGGCTGTGATAGCGACAACTTGTTCACTTCCAAAATGCCACACATTTACATATCAAATTGACACATACTGCACACATACATAACCGTTCTGAAATCTTTTTAGTGATATCAGCATCTATAAGATTAACATAT